TTTTACTTGAAGAGTTCCATAATAATCCTATAGGAGGTCATCAGGGAGTATCACGTACCTATAAAAAGATGTCGCAGTTTTATATTTGGAAAGGATTAAAAAGAGACATAAAAAAATTCATTAAAAAATGCACATTTTGTCAAAAAAATAAATTATCAAGAAAAACAAAAATGCCAATGGTCATCACTTCAACCGCATCTAAACCTTTTGAAAGATGGTTTCTTGATATTGTCGGTCCCTTACCAGAAACCGAAACGGGCAATAAATATATATTGACTTTCCAAGACGATTTAACAAAATTCTTAATTAATATTCCAATGAAAAATCAGGAAGCCGTAACAGTAGCGTACCACTTTGTAACAGGAGTTGTATGCATATATGGATTACCTGAAACTTTAATCACAGAACAGGGTTCGAATTTTTTGAGCGAAATTTTCAAAAATACGTGCAAGCTGTTAAGAATCAAGAAAATTCAAACAACTAGCTATCATCCTGAGTCGAATGGAGCATTGGAACGCTCTCATAGAGTCTTAGAAGAATATTTAAGGCATTTTATATCGGACTCGCAGGAGAATTGGGTACCATTTGCAACATTTTCTTATAACACCACACCACATTCAGGTACTCAATTCACACCTTTCGAACTTTTATTCGGTCATATACCTAGTTTGCCCACTTCCATCAACCAACCTATTAAAACTCAATATACATATGATGATTTTCTAGCAAATCTTAAAAATAAAATGCAGTATTCTAATCAAATTGCACAAGAAAATTTGCTAAAAACTAAAAACACAACAAAATTATGATAAAAATTGTTTAATTCGCGAGTTTAAGGTGGGCGATAAAGTTCTACTCTATGATGAATCAGTTCGAAGAGGAAGAAGCAAAAAACTCACTTCTTTATGGATTGGTCCATATAAAATAATAAAAAAAATATCGGATGTAAATTACACTATTCAAAAGGCAAGAAATAAGCAAACTGTGCATGCAAACAGATTGAAATTTTATTACGATTAAAAAAAAATATATATAAGGTACCTGTCCCAAATAAGGCCATATTAAGAAGTTTTATTTTTTCCTAACATTATCCACCAAACCCAACAAAAATCACGAGCTTATATGTGAAGTGTTTTGCTTCTATTACTTGAATATTTCTTCCAATTTATTTATTTTTTTATATAAGTGGTGGTTTTTGCGTGAAACAAAGAGGCTAACCATTGGCCTTATTCGGATCACTATGCTCCTAATAAGGCCAACATTAAAAAATGCTTAAAGTAAATTCAATTATTCATAAAAATATTATTATTTGAGGAATAGTACACAAAATAGAACTTATACGTTTGCTGCATTCCTAAAAAAACAATAATTCCAATTCCTGGGATGGTGATCCAAATAGGTCTATATACAACTAGGACAAATGAATCGTAGCATCTTTTGCTTGGAGAGTCTCCACGCATTTCAAAAAACATCAACTAGGTAATAATATGACACATTCTTTTAGAAAAACACTGTGATGTGAGGCCAATTGAACATTTTTCGTCTGTTGGCCTTATCAGGAACATGTTAACTTGATAAACAAAAGTCTGTAACTAGAAATCTAGCAAAGATATTATTCTGTACTTACTCTGTAGCTTTCTCAATACATAAATGTCCGTTAAAAAATTACAATCGTTCCATTCACTTTATAAACACGTATATAGGCTAATTGAGTTCCAGCCTCAAAGTTATAACGTGACATATGAAATATGTGGTTGGCCATTTTTCGACATATGACGAGTTGCTAGAAACCCTTGCAATAATTTTTGATTTGCATTATAGATTTCTTTTCTAATAATATTGTAATTTTTGGAAATGGGATTCAATATTAAGCAATAAAGGGCACTGGCCTTAATAGGTACCCGGCCTTATTTGGGTCAGGTACCTTATATATATATATAGTTAGTTATTAAATAGGAAATTTCTTCTTTCCAGGTCCGGAATAATGCGAATAATACTTATTCTGATAATAAGTTCTCTAGGCTCCGCCAATGCCCAGCCTGAGTATAATGTAACGTATTATGAATATAACCCCGGAATCCATTTCGAAAAGCTTGGAGAACTTCGTCTATTCAACAATAAGTTTAAGCTAATCACATTTGTAGAACTTGGCAGACTAAATGAAAATTTTTTATCAATTAAATATTATTATAAGATGACTGCAGAGCTATGCGACCATAATAATGCACAATATCATTATTATATATGCGACATGTTTTTAAAGTCGGCAAGTTACTCTTTAGATAAAATTAGTAAGGAATTAGATGTACTCAATCAATTGGTAGGGCATAATTATAATGTACACAGAAGCAAAAGAGGGTGGTTTAACATTGTTGGAAAAGCTACTAAAGTGTTATTCGGCATTTTGGACGAAGAAGATGCCCAATACTATGAATCCAAAATAAAAGAATTCACTGAAGAAAACACTTCCGAACTAAACCTCTTGAAGGAACAGACCAAAATAGTTCAGTCTGCGTTGATCCATTTTAATAATACCATCGGTACATTGGACTTTAATGAGAACATCTTAAAATCCAACGTGGATAAACTCAAAACGGAACTCAATAAAAATCAGAACGAAATAAAATTCCTATCACTAAAGAATAACTTAGAAGAACATGTAACAATAACAAACATGATCCTTAATCAACTACAACTTGAAGTTATGACACTGACCAATGCAATTTTGATAGCAAAAAAAGGCATACTCCATCCAGCAATTATAACTCCAGTTCAACTTGTTAAAGAATTGAAACTTGTCGTCCAATCACTTCCTCATGGTAGTGATTTTCCTGTACCTTTAGACTCTTTAAATGCTAATCTTCTACTTAAAACAATCCAATTACAGGTATATTTCGAAGATAAACGTTTAATATATATTATTAATATTCCGTTAGTGGAAACATATCTATTCTATCTCTATAAAATATCACCATTTCCCAAATTATTTGCACCTAATCAGTTTATATTAATTCAGCCTTCAGAAAAATATATTGCTCTGGATGAAAGTAAACAGCAATTTATTTCACTTTCAAATATGGAATTTAATAATTGCATAAAAATTACAGAAAGTAAAATTATCTGTAAACAACAACAGCCAGTTTCATTAGCTCATCTATCTAATAATTGCGAGATAAAATTGCTTCAAGGTATTAGTAAGATACCAGATATTTGCGATAGACGAATTGTTAATTTAGATAGGGCTATCTTTATTCAATTACATACAAGTAATACATGGTTATTTGCAGTTCCAAATCCAGAAAGTCTTACTATCTCATGTACAAATAGTAATAAGCCAATAGATGTAGTCTTAAAATCTTGCGGAAGTGTTACTATATCAAAACAATGTAAAGCTTACAGTGCATCTATAATGCTTGTGCCCCACGACAATATAATCCAGTCAAAAATGTTCAGTGAATTTGTACCGCCTCTTGAATTAAGTAGTGACTGTTGTGAAACGAAAGAAATGAAAAATAATTTTAATTCTAGTGATTTATTGTTAAACGAAAATTATAAAAGCTTATCAAAACACATACCCGAACTAAATATAGCAAGTCACAAATTGGACGAAATCGAACGGCTAGCAGACGACATACAGAAGAAAGACAACGCTTCGAAATACCAATACTCAAGCTCAATAATAGCATATATACCAATCATGGTAATTTTAATAATTTATAAGATATACAAAAAATGTTGTGCTAAGACATCTTGTTGTGGCCTAGTACCGAATTTGTGCATACGGGTAAATCAAACCATCGAACCTACTTCTGAACATGGAAGCCGATATGTGGCACATTACAGAAACGAAAATGTCGAACAACCAGAGACTGAAAGCTATAAAGAAGAAAGAGTATCGATTAGATCCTCACCTCCTGCACCTCGAAAAACAATAAGTTACATTCCATCAAGACGTCCAATTAGGGAAAAGTAAATTAAGTTTTTGTGATTATAATCTATAGTTTGTAAGTACCTAGATTTTTTAAATAAGTAGACATTTAGTATATTTTATATAGATCTTTTACCGTATTATCATTTTTTTTTAGTACCTAAGTTTTAAGAAATTTTTGAATTATTCCTTTTATTATTTCTAATCGTATTTTTAAAGATTTTATATCATTGCACTCTATAAAATCTCTCATTAAGGGGGAAGGTGTTGTGAGTATATAGTATATGCCTATTCCATATATGCTAATCATTCATATGGAATAATCAACTTAAACCTAACAACCCCAAATTCTTGAGTATAATTATGATTTTTCAATATCAACTATATTTTCGTAACAAAACCTCATGACAATAATTATTAAGTCATCTAGTTAATTACGCTAATCATATTTCTTCCTAACTTCAGATAGGAGTTATTTGTATACTCGAAATTATTTTCCTATTATATTTATCTGAGTCAATACTCAAATTATTCCTCAATTATTAAGAGTAAATAAAAACAAGCTCATTAAATTTTCAACTTAGGAATAGATCATTAGGTTTAGATAATAATTCATTAAGATAGAAATTTATATTTAAGGAGCTTAAACTCCCATGAAAAGAAATTCATTGTTATACTAGATTTTGTACCAGCTAGTTATTCTGTACATAATAAAAGTATTCAAAAACGTCCCAACTGAGTAAGAGTTATTTAATTTCGGCGAACACAACACTAAATTATTATTTTGGGCTACTGTAACGATATTTCCTCACTGCTTATATTTTGTACCGGGAAACTTACAATAGATTTTCTATGAAATTAATAGAAGACGTGATATTGAAATATCCTCGTATAATTCAGTGTTTCAGGTGAAAATAAAAATACTATACCTTATACCTAAGGTACCTATGTAGTTGCACGTTGCACCATTGTAGTTGCAATATTGTTATTTGTTAGCGACCTATAAATCTAGGAAATGATCAATTATCTAAGAATCTAGGTTGCAACAAATTAAATTACCGCTGCGTAAGAAAATAAATCGGTGTTATAGCTTAGGCAACGTTATACCTATGCGTTGTGCACGCCAAAACTTTCTACACCAGTTAAAATAATAGAGGTTTACAAATACTGAATCAGAATACTTGCTGCGTTATCACCTAATGAGATAAAAAAAAAGATAAAAACAAAAAAATATGACTGTCCGTGAATATAATTATTAGCAATAATTATTATAGTTATGAAAATCATGACTTGTTAAAATATCAATTAAAACTTTCAACAAATTTGTTCCGCGAAAACTCCATCACAATAATCAGGTTTCAAAGATCGAAGTATTGTTGCCTGAGAACCTGTAACGTGTAGCCCTGTGTGTGTGTAGTGTTTCGGTTACCTCGGTCTACCACAAACGAGCTAGTCACGCTTGATATAAAAACGTAATTATTATCTACCTACCTTATTATTATATTATTATCTGCTAAACCAGGGCCATCAAAAGTTATTCGACAAAAAGTTATAGGATGAGATTTTTCAGTGCAGTATGTAACTCAGCTGCTAGGCTAGATGGGAAAACCGCTGTCATTACTGGTTGTAATACAGGAATAGGAAAAGTCACGGCCAAGGACTTTTTTGAACGAGGTGAGTGACACGCTTTTTTCGGCCAGTGAAAAGCATGATGAGTATATAGGTACTTGAATCAGGCGAATTTTTATCCTACCTGATATGAATTTGAGTTAATTGGTTTTATTTAAACTAGAAATATTAAATATCTAGGTATATTGATAAATCTAATTTCCTTTTTTGTAAACGAATTTTTCACTCATGACAAATATTGAAATAATGGAGATAGAGAGGTTTCCACCTATTATTTAATATTATTATTATATGTAATTAGGTATATCATAGAAACAACTTGTATTTAAATATTTTCCACGTTTTATTCGATTATTAGCTACTTCCTCGAAAATAACTACCTACGAATTGTATCGTAAGCACGAGTTAAAATAAAATGGAGGACTAGTGTATCAAGGCAAGGCCAAAGTATGTGTGAAGTATGCGCCTAAAATTTCAAACTCCAGAAATTCTCAACCCAACTACGCGCAACGTCAAAATAGTAAAGCATAACATAAGTAAATAGGTTAAATAGGTAAATGACATTTAAATTAAATAGAATGCATTTTCTGAGTCCATGTCATCAAAACTTCTGAGCAGACTAACCCAAACTATTCCAATTCCTAAAAACGCGGCTGTATGACCCATGACTTGTGGATTCACACATGGCTGAGTTCATGGCAAATCTAAATTATTGGTAATCTTTCAAGCCCCAGTGCGGTTACACTACAGTCTTTGACAAATACCTATATGATTTTTTTCGGAGTTTTACTTATTATACAGGGTTAACATTTAGCAATTAAGCACGCGTCTCTCTATAAGCTCTAAACTAATGCCTAAGGATAGGAATTTCGTTCATATGTCAACCTATACACAAGACTATTTTAGGCGAATATTTTTGAGTAACCCAGAGTGGCCAAAATAAGAGTGGCGATGATGTAAAAGTCGTTTTTTTTTTTTAAATGGTAGTCAATTTGTTCCAGTATTTCAGGGAGAAAAAATCACAAACCGAAACAAAATATTTTTCCGAGCTAGAAAAAAAATACGGGGATATGAAAGGTGTCCTAAACATAACCAGCCGTTTCGTACACTTATGGATACCAGCATAAATACAAGACCAAAACGAAGAACGGCACTGAAATTAAAGAGATTTAACATCGATATTGCAGCTCTAAGCGAAAACCAGATGAGCAGGCGAAGGTCAACTGGAGGAGCACGGAGGAGGCTATACGTTTTTCTGGGAAGGAAATGAAGAGAATGAACCACGCATCCACGGGGTAGGCTTCGCCACAAAAAAATAATTTATAGACCATATTGCTGAGCTTCCATCCGGAATATGCGAGAGACTCATTGATGATACTGAGGCTAAGCCTCAGCAACAACCAACAAGCTACGCTAGTCAGCGCCTACGCTCCAAATCTCAAAACTGACGAAAATCAAAAAGAGGAATTCTATGCCAAGCTTAGTGAAACCCTAATCATCTGTACCTAGAGCTGATAAACTTGTTCTTTTGGGTGTTCTTAACGCCCGGGTCGGTATGGAGTCAGATTTATGGAAAAGCGTTATCGGCAAGAAAGGAGTCGGAAAAATGAACTCGACCGGACAAGTGCGGATGACTGCTGGACTCTCCATCGGCTGATACGAGCCAGAATGAACTTGCGCATCCCACCAAAGCGTATACCTATATCAAAAAAAGCAGTTCAAAAGCAAATCTAACGCCTTTAAGACGACCATATTAGGACAAACTTCCAAGCCTCTCTAAGCCAGAAACTTCCGTTAGAGTACCCGGAAAGCATTGAGGAGCACTGACAAACATTGAAGACCGCAATAACATCTGCCTCGGAAGAAACGGTCGGGTACATACATAAGAAACATCAAGACTGGTTTGATGAGAACGACACAGAAATTCAAGACCTCATAGAAAGATAAAGAAAAGCGCATAGGGCATGGAAAAACGCCCCCAGTTTGACTGTGAAAAAAGGTAATACCAGGAAGCGCTGAATCCAACAGCACCAAAGCCTTCTTTCAGGCTACTAAAATGGTATACGGACCAACCACTCAAGGACTCAATCGTCTACGATCCAAAGATGGCACAAGACTGCTCAAAGATAGTTCCTCCATTAAAAAAGGCAATCAGATAACTAAAGAACAAAGTCAGCTGGGTACTGACGACATTCCTGCTGAATTCTATAAACAAAAAGGCCCCACACTAAGTGCGAAAACCCACATCCTAATAAGCCCTCCTTTTTATTCTAATCGGTGACTTCACCGATGAGTTAGCTATCTTTGTTTAGTTAATGGAAAATGACAATGAACGACATAGAATAGTGGATCCATCATCAAATTTAATGAGAATAAAAACGCAGGGTAAGTAGAATATGGATTACTGAGACCATACCTGCCGAACCGAACCTCCATAGTGGCCATTTTTAAAAAGGGAGACAAGGCTCAATGTGTAAGCGACAGAGGAAAATCTGTACCTTCTGTTGCGGAAAAGATACTTGCCAGGATATTGTCAAGTCGTCTAATCCCAACTGCCGGAGAGAACCTCCCAGGGACATAGTGTGGCTTTAGACCCAACCGAGGTACAGCTGACATGATTGTCAGTGCGAGACAAATGCAAGAGAAATCCAGAGAACAAAATCGCCATACATGGCCTTCATAGATTTAGTGAAAGCATTTGATTCGGTCAACAGAGAAGCTCTTTAGAAGATATTGGCAAATGTTGGGTGTCCGCAGAAGTGCATTCAGATACTCCGCCTACTGCATGATAATATGAATGCAACCGTCCGAAGCAACGAAAGAGAATCTTTTCAAATAAGCGTTGAACAGGGCTGTGTTATTGCACCCCCTCTACTTTCTCTATTTATAGGATTCATACTTCACCTTGTCAAGGGTCACCTGCCGTCAGGAGTGGAAATCCTGTACAGACTTGATGGTGGCTTATTCAACCTAAACAGATTACGATTCAAGACGAAAGTATCGACGACATCGATAATTGAACTTCAATTTGCGGACGATAACGTCGTGATGGCCAATACAGAGGAAGATCTTCAGGCAATTATCGCATTCCAGATTCTGCACCAACCCGCACCGGGCACTAATTCCCAAGCCCCGAATATTAAAAAAAATTCTCCTGTGAAACCCCGGTGATGCAAAGCTTTCGAATCTGTGTGCATTTATTTAGTGATTAGGTCCTTGAGCCCTGTATTCTACGAATACCTGTATGATTTTGTTTTATTTTCTCTGGGTTAATATATTCATTCAAGACCCTAAACCTACTACGTATTTCGTTCAGTAATTCTTTTTCTTTAATATTTATTTTCAATGGAATTGGATGTAAGGATTTTTATTATTATCAGATAGGTACCTACCTGCTATTTTTTTTTCTAGGTGCTCGAGTAATAATGGCCTGTCGAAACAAAGTAAAGGCAACCGAAGCAGCAGATGACATAAAAGTATCTTGCCAGTGTAAACAAAATGTTGGAGAATTGATTGTAGAAGAGTTAGACTTAACCAGTCTTGAATCCGTTAGGCGATGTGCTAAAACCATTTTGGAGAAGGAACCTAAAATTAATTTATTGGTGAACAATGCCGGTGTAATGGTTTGTCCAGAAGGCAAAACTGAAGATGGATTTGAAATACAATTTGGAACTAATCACTTGGGTCATTTCCTATTCACGATGTTGCTATTACCAAGAATCATTCAAAGCGCTCCTGCTCGAATTGTTACGGTTTCTTCTGTAGCTCATGAAAGTAAGTAGGTAATAATTCAGTGGAAATAAAAACATTTATACGTGCCATTTCAGGAGGAACTATGGATTTTGATGATCTGAACTGGACCAAGAAAAGCTACCACCCCTTGAAGGCCTATGGGCAAAGTAAACTGTCAAATATTTTATTCTCTAATGAACTGGCCAGACGATTAAAGGGTAAATATTTGAAAACTTAACTTGACTACAGTGTTTCATGTTGATTTTTACAATATGTCTTTTTAAAGTACTCCGAAAACCCTCGATAATGCTTCTATATTTGATAGAAATTGCGAAGGTATAGTTTATACGAAGTCAATAGTCAATCCGAAGAGCAGTAAAACTATGTAGGCGGCATATTCTTATGAAATTAACCATATTATGAGGCTGTTATAGGAATTAGAATTAGAATTCTTCGTTTTTGGGAATTCCTAGGCTGTTACACATAATATGGTTAATTTCATAAGAAGATGCCGCTTACACAGTTTTTATGCTATTCGGATTGACTTCGTATAAACTAGACCTAACTAATTAATTATTCTATCGATAAAAAAAATATCCCAAAATGAGCCCAATACTTAATATACTTTTAAATGTAACTACATACTTACTTCAAAGATCATCCTGTATGAAACAGGAAAAAAAATAAATATGAATGTGAGTATCGTAGGTAGGTATAATAGCTTTCAGATATAAAGCCATCTATGTAGCTTACACTCTAAGTTTTCCTCTCCAAATTTTAACATCACATATAAAAATATGCTAGAAAGGAGCGGAGGCACTTTTACCTACAGCAACAATTACGTATATTTTATGTAAATTTAAAAATGTTTAATAAATTTATTTTAGAAGCCAACATAAACGATGTGACAGTCTACAGTTTACATCCTGGAGTGATTAAAACTGAACTAGGGCGACACGTGGGATCAACTTACGGCTCGTTCCTGAAATTTGTATGGGGTTTTTTCAGTTGGGCCCTTAAAACTCCTATACAAGGTGCGCAAACTACAATTTACTGTTCGGTCGATGAAAAATGTGCGAACGAATCGGGATTATATTACGCAGAGTGTGCTGTTAAAAAACCTACTAAGGAAGCTACCAATGTGGATGACGCTAAGAGACTGTGGACAGACAGCTTGAAACTAGTGAACTTGCCTGAAAATTATGACCCTATTACAAAAGCTTAATGAATAGAAATATCTGTTATTAATAATATTTTGTATGATTTCATGCCTATTTGTAATTTTTGTCGTTTTATTTCTGGTACCTACCTACCCACATTGCCCAATTAGTAGGTACCTATTGTTAAATGGATGTTTTTTTTTAAAATATAATTCCATACCTACCTATATTATTCGTTGTTAATGAAATAAAGAAAAATGAAGTCATGTCCAGATGACTGACAGAATTACAAACTTTCTGGCCGACTGAATTTTAATTTTTCACAGTTTTAGTGGTTCCGTGAAAAAAAAAAAAACAGTTTTTCGCAATTCTCTCCGAAACTATGCGTTTTTCCAAAAAAAAATGAGGAAAAAAATTAAAGAGGAGGAAATATCATACAAAAAAAAACATGCGCAGCGCCGTACACGTGGTAGAAGTGAAACTTTTTGAAAGCTCCTTCTCATACAACTTTTAGACTTAGCGTATGAGTCGGGGTAAAGACGGAAGGAAACGCGCATCTGTTGTGACGTCACAAGGGTATCGGCGCTTGACAATATTAGGCAATCCTTGCGCTTATAATCCTTGATTTGTGGCACTCAATGGCTGTTTTTCTTCGTTTCTAATATCATTTTTGATAATATTTTAATAATTTTAATATACTTACTTCATAATGACGGTTCACGGACATATTCAAAAAATATCGCCGCACACAAATGTATAAATAAGGAAAATAATCACAATGACAAAACACAATGATATTAGTATAACGGTATAACAAAAGGAAGACGCGCATCTGTAGTGACGTCACAATTTTAGCGGTGCTTGTCAATAATAGACAATCCGCTTTAAGCCTAGTTCTCATGATGCGGAAGTCCGGATTGCGGGTGCGGAATTTTTGAAATAATTCCGTTGGCGGGAAAACGTCAACTTTTTTGCGGATCCGCAATAAAGTTGAACCATTTTCAACTTTCTTGCGATTTTTTTTTCTGTCTTTGTCTAAACATTTCTCATCTTTGTTTGATTTCTACATAAACAAATAAACTAACCTCAAACAAAAAACAATAAAACAATTAATACCTAACAAAACTAAATTGATCTGCTTGCTTGTGTGCTTGTTTTATTTTCAAATACATATTATTACGGCAAACCCCTTTTTCATGCCTTTTCAGAAGAATATTATATAGCTATTCTGCTTCTTTGATGAAGTTTCATGCATACCTATTATGGATTAATAGCAAACCCAATACTAACGTATATTGGGTGGTAGTCTGAATAAAAACGAAGTACTTGCTACTACTACAGGTAGTAGTATATTCTACGAAGTATTTACTTCACAACAAAGGATTTACTAATTTCCGGTAGTTTCGAAATGTAGAATCTACTTCATTTTAAAGTAAACACTACGAAGAATATACTACTACTTGTCGTAGTAGCAGATACTTTGTTTTTTTTCATACCTCCGTCTGTCTTTTCCATTGATAATAATTTAATTGTGCAATATAATTATCCATCCAGGCACACAGGAAAACAAAAACAAAAAATATGTTAGGTTAAGATCACATGTATTTGACATAAAACCGCATCCGGAATTCCGTTTCATGTGAACCATCAAAAATTACGATTTTCAAAAAACTGCGATTTCCGGACCCGCAATGCGGAATCCCGCACCATGAGAACTAGGCTTTACGCTTATAATCCTTGGTTTGTGTCAATGTCGGTGCTTGTCAATAATAGGCAATCCTCTTTCTGCTTATAGTCCTTGGTTTGTGTCAATCAATAGCTGTCTTTCTCCGTCTCTTTACGTTATATCTTTCTTCTCTCTCGAGTAACGAAATTTGCCCGTGACGCGTTTTTCAAATCACTCTCCATTGTCGTCCAAATACTAGAACGCCGCACCGTGTAGCGAAACGGGAAAAAAGTGGACATCAACGTTTCTAACTTACTGATTCTAGTAATACTAATGTAATAATTGTTATTATTGATAAAATTTAGCAAACATATGTTTCTTCTGAAGTATATTTGTAATTAGCAGTATACAGGGTGTAAAAATTTAAAAAATACCCAGTTCTAAGCGCACGCCACACCAATAAGAAATAATATATTTTTAACCTATTCCAATAAATATCCAGAAATATTTCTTTCCTAATCTGAATCAACTTCCTCTTCCATTTCTTGTTCCATATCTAACAGTTCCTGCGCCTCTAAATATAATACAAACTTTTTTTTACAACTATATTTTGGTCTAATTGATGAAATTAAAGGATCTGAAGAAAAATAGATTATGCAGAATATCCTCAATATTCTGTCTTCTTCCAATTTTTCTGGAAAAATTCTGGCTAAATTCTTTGTTCTAGCCTCGGAAGCTTCTCCAGATAATTTATCAATTGGAATTTAATTAAAATTTTTGCAAATTTCTGCTCCATGAATCAGAAGAATATGAACACTCGTGGGCAAATATACATCGGGGAAACCTAATGTGCTTATTGCCTAACCCCTACCCCTCTTGCCTTGAGGACTAGCCGCTCCTAATAATTTTTCTAAAACGAGAACCTAACCCCGTGTGATAGCTCCTTTGAAAGGTTTTTTTTATTCGTCTTTAGAGACGCGCAGAAGCAGATAGAAATACGATAAACACATTATTTGGTTCCGCCGATATGTGTATCCGAGACTTTCATGACAATTTTTTTTAGTCTATGAGATAGTCAAAGTTACTAGTTTTCACAATGTGCTTACTTTTAAACACAGATATCTCGAAAACTAATCGTTCGATTTAAGATTTTTCTATAGGACTGTAAAGGGACAACAACGAGCTATCCAACGATGTGCAACACAAGGTAGGTTCGTATTTAAAAAAAAAAAGGTTGGGGTAGCTACCGCCTGAGGGGTGAGGCGGGATGACCCCCTCCAATTTCCCGATACGAATTTGAGATATTCCTGATATTATTTTTTGTCTAAGAGATATTTCCGATTGCAACTTTTCAAATTGTCACCCTGTATATATTGAATTCAGTAAATAAGAATTTTCATAGATAGTTTAAAAGGCCCCAAAAAGATTTAAATATCACTTATGTGAAAAAAGATATCCACTCCTAATGCACTGCATGATGTAAAATAAAAGCACTTTTTCCTAAGAATAGCAAATATTAGCAAACAAAAAATATGTGCCTTTCTTCTATAAAGGTAGCTCTATCAAACAAGATATTTATCAGCCTGGACATATTTGGACATTTTTTTATAAGTCAACGTGAACTTTAACTTTTTGGAAGAAATACTGAAGAAGAAAAAAAAACATTTGACATATATTTACTGCACATTTACAAAAAAAATAAACAGGAATATATTGTCAATGACTTAATAATACTGTATACAAAAAACAAGTTTAAAATAGCTCGTACTTAATAAGCATAAAATTTTTGAAAATAGAAAAGGTTTTAACCTAAGATTTTGTGAATCACAGAAGAGCAAGTTTGAATTAAATATATTCGCAAACCAGCAGTTGTAAAAAAAAACTAATTAGTACTGGCATAGCTTACGGTCTTAACAACCTGTGACTATAGAAAAAAATTTATTTTTTCAACTTTGACTTTTTCGTCAGATGGTCACCATTTTTCGCATTTCAAAACACTGTGCGCCGCCTAAGAAGTTTCACTTCAAAAAATGTGCTTAACATAATTATTATTCTCGCTAACATGTTTCGTAGGTTTTACATAAAGGCAATTTTCCAAAATAAGATGTGTAGTTGGGTTCTTCAAAATTACTTTTTTGGGCTTTATACAATTTTTTCATGAAGCGTATCTTCATTATCCAATATTCCAATATTTCCAATTAATTCAAATCAAATCAAATCAAATCAAATCAAATCAAATCAAAAATTAGCTTTATTGTCGTAAAACTTATGTTATTGACAAAGCCATATTTAACATCTAAATATTATCTGAATAAACAGGTCAAAGTTATGAATAAAAACCTCAAAATCTAAAGTTAAAATGACAAATAACAAAGTAAGCAGCAAAATAAAATCAAAAATAAAAATAAATAAAAAAATAGTACAAAATACCATAATACATTTAATTAAAATTGTAATTGAAAAAATCAGTAATGTAGCATTAAGCTTTCGCAGATAATATCTCCTTTATGTGAGTCTGACGCATATTGTAATGACCGCCCGCAGACATCTCATGGCCATGCTTCTTAAAAATGAAACAGACTGTTTCCAAAATAAATAAACAACAGAGAGTCAAGATACCAAGCCTCATAAACAATGGTCGACAGGAATCACGAACCCCTGCACCACACATGTAGGACCTTATTAACCTTTTCTGCAAAATAAATACAGAGTCAAAATGGTATTTAGCACAACATCCCCAGAAACAAATACCATATCGAAGGTGGGACTCAATCAGTGCAAAGTAAGAGCTTCTGGCAATGGATGAATCCAGATTTTTGGAAATTATTCTGAGAACATAACAACCAGAAGAGATTTTTTTTTATGAATACCAAATATGTGGCCCTCAAACTTCAAAGTATTATCTATTGTTAACCCCAGGAACTTGCTTGCGTTAAGTGGCACTCACTGATCTCTAACCCTTCGGGTGGATAAGCAATTGGTTAGATGCGCAAAGCGGAAAAATGTCTTTACATGGGTGAAAAAGCAGGTAAAATGCGCAACGCGAAACTGTCAAATTCAAGAAAACCAGGTAGCATCGTCAGATGCGCACTAATGAAAATCAATAAAATCATCCATCACTCTTACCCATAGATAACGGTGGGAACGGCTGAGCAGAGCCGGATTTCGGAATTGTTACATTAAAATTACTAGAAATATATTTCTTACTGAAATAAAAGAAAGATAATTCTTGTTTTCTCAATTTAGTTTTAATCAATCATAATAATGTATATATTATTAGTGATAATATTATAGTAACTAATACCTAACTGGGAGAGCGACCGTTCTTCCAGCTAGGTACCTAACAAAGGACTTCCATTTATCCTTTCTAATGGCGATACTTTTGATACCTTAAGATAAATTTTAATGAACTATTTTACTATTTAATTTGAATAATACAATAATTGATGAGACTTCCTAAGAATATATTACATTACCTTTCAAAAATAAATTCAAAATCCAAACAAATTATTATTGTCATACGCTCCCAAAAACAGCTATTTTACGGACTCATTCAAGTCCGTAAAATGCTTGTTTTTAAGATTTTTTTTCCTTTCTGGTTGCACCTATATGATTTCAAAAATTAAGGAAATTTTATAAATTTTAGCGTTCTGAAAAATTCTAAAAAGCGTATGACAAAAAATAGTGTTTGTCACACGTACCTAACGAAGTTTTTCAGGGCTCATCTGCTATTCGGGACTCGGCTAACGCCTCGTCCGGAAACAGCAATGATTCGTCCTGAA